ATTGCTTTTAGCTCAGGACTGTTTTGGCTGTCTGGGGTCTTTTGTGGTTCTATATGAACTTTGGGATTTTCCTATTTCGCTGAAGAATATTGTAGGGTTTTTATTGAACTTGTATTGGATGCATCTGTAAATTGCCTTCAGAGAATGGTTATATTTTCACAATGTTAATTTTACCAAAAGCTAACAAGGTTAGTTTTTGTTTTCTAATGTCTCCCTCAACCTATTTCTTCAGAGATTTAAAGTTTTCATTGTAGGGTCTTTTCTCCTCCTTTGTTAGGTTGTTGTGGTTTGAATGGCCCTTACGGGTTTAAATGTTTGGTCCCCAGTGAGTTGCTTTGTTGGAGAAGGTGTGTCATGGGGGGGGGGCTTTGAGATTTTAAAAGCCTGGTACTTGTGGATCAGATGTGAGCTCTCAGCTACTGCTCAGGACCATGCCTGTCTGCCAGCTCTCATGCTCCCTGCCATGATGGCCATGGACTAGCCCTCTGAAGCTATAAACAAGACCCCAAATAATTGCCTTCCCTCATAAGTTGCTTCACAGCAATAGAATAGTAATGAAGACAGAAGTTGGTACCAGGGACCAGGATATTGCTGTGACAGACCCTACCATGCTGTTGTTTGGAGAAATGTGAATGTTAAATGTAAGTGGGACTTAACAAGCTGTCCTAGTAGGAGCATGGTACTGACTTGAGGTATTATTGAGAGCAATGTGGATTATGGAGGCCTAGCCCAAGAGAGCAGCCAGGCTACAAACCATTCTTGTGATATTTTAGCTGCTTTTTGACCTTGTCCTAAAAATCTGCCTGAGGCTAAATTGAAGAGTTTCTGAACTAATGTCACTGGCAGAGAAGAGTTCAAGATAACCTAGTAATGACTGGGTCACATGGTTACTAGCGACCATTCTTACGTAGCCCTACAATGAAAAAGATCAAGAGGGGTAAAAATAAATACAAATGTAGTTTGAGGGGATAAAGAGCACCAAGAAATGCAACGTTGGAGCCGAGATTAGAAGTTAAAAGAAACGCCTGATAGTAAATGTAATAAAGGGAGTGGTATCTTCAGGGAGAAACTCCACCTAGCTAAACCTATAGTCTCTGAAAGGCAAAGGCTGAAGGCCATCTAAAAGCAAAAACCATCAACAGGCCCACACTTATGCAAATGTAAGTCACGGACGGGCCCGGGTTTCAGCCCAAGCAAACAGAAGAACTTGGCAGCACCATCCACAACACTGTGGCTTTAATGAAGAAAACACAAGTGGAAAGGGGTGGAGGGATGCTCCTCTGCAGTTAGGGAAGGGGTGGAGGGATGCTCCTCTGCAGTTAGGGAAGGGGTGGAGGGATGCTCCTCTGCAGTTAGGGAAGGGGTGGAGGGATGCTCCTCTGCAGTTAGGGAAGGGGTGGAGGGATGCTCCTCTGCAGTTAGGGAAGGGGTGGAGGGATGCTCCTCTGCAGTTAGGGAAGGGGTGGAGGGATGCTCCTCTGCAGTTAGGGAAGGGGGGGGGAGGGGTGCCCCCTGCGTTAGGGAAGGGGTGGAGGGATGCTCCTCTGCAGTTAGGGAAGGGGTGGAGGGATGCTCCTCTGCAGTTAGGGAAAGCAGCTGAGGCCAATGTGGCAGGGGAATCCCTGCATGGCGAGAAGCCATCACATGAAGCTTCATGTGAAGGGGAAATCTGGATTCTGTTGGAGATCCCAAGATGTCCGAATGCCAAGGCTAAGGGATGCCCGCCAAGGAGAGGGGCAGGGAGGGTATGGACCTAGCCCAGGGAAATAAGTGTGCTGTAATCAGTGAAGCTGGGAGAAGCGGGAGATAGAAGACATCTAATTGCCTTTTGACACTGGGTACAGAGATACAGAATCGGAGTTTACCCTGCTGGGTTTGGTTTTGCTTTGGTCCAGTATTTCCTCACTATGGTCCCTTTCCTCTATTTTTGGAATGGAAAAGTATATTTTGAGTCACTGTACGGTGAAGTACGCAATTTGCTTTTTTATTTTACATGGGGCTACAATTAAGATACTGCCTTGAGGCTCAGAAGAGACTTTGGGCTTTTAGACTGTGAAGGACTATGGGGACTTTTGAGTTTGACTGGATGCATTTTGCATTATGATGTGGCTACAAGTCTATGTGGGCAGGGAGTGGAATGTAGTGGTATTGTTATGAAGAACGGCCATCATAGGCTTATATATTTGAATATTTGGTTCCCAGTTGGTGGAACTGGATCAGGATGTGTGGCCTCACTGGAGGAGGTATGTCACTGGGAGCAGGCTTTGAGGTTTCAAAGGCTCCCATCAGTGCAAACTTGCATAGCCACTATGAAAATCAATATGGCAGTTCCTCAGAAAGTTGAGAATCAATCTACCTCAATGATAATCAAGCTCCAGTCTGAAGAACCACAGAGGTTAGATATAGAGGAAGGGACTAGGGGGGACACATGGCTCTCCCTGTGAAGGGGAAACAGAATATATTTTACAGGTGGACTGGGGACATGAGGGGAACAGGAGGGTCAGGTGAGGATGGGGAGAGGAGATAGGGTTGAGGGAGGGAATTTGAGGAGACATTTGGAGTTGAGGGGCCTTTAAGGGATGCAGTGGAAACTAGGAAGACGATCCTAGTGAAGCCTCCTAATAATGGGGAAGTTGAGTCCTGACTGGCCATCTCTTGTCACCAAATGAGGCATTCAGTGCAAGGACTAAGTTGCATTCTATCATCGTTGCCCGGGGGGGGGGGTTCCCAAACACCCAGGCTGTTGCTAAGTAAGACAATGGGTTCTCTGCAAACTGACAGCCAAGGGCAGCGCTCACAAAACTCACTGAACATGGAGAGGTTGAGTTGATGCCTACACAGAACCTTCACCCCTATGTTCTAGTGTCTTTGGTGTAGGGAGGTACTCTGCAGGTACCAAAAGAGAAGTGTTAACACCAGCTCTGCCACAAAACGTTTGACCTACAATCTGTCCTACCTGCAAGATAGGTTAGGGCAATGGTGGCACAGAACTTGTGGGAATGGCCAACCAATGTCTGATTTAAGGCACACTCCACAAGATGGCATCCATACCCAACACTGCTTAGGTGACCAAGAACCAGAGACTAGATAGTTCAGAGACCTAGGGCAAAACCAAACAATACTGGTTTTAAAAAAGTTATCAATAAAATGACTCCTAGTGATATTCGGCTATATTCAGATCAGTGCCTTGTTCAGTCATCAGCGAAACTTCCTCCTACAGCAGAAGGAACACAGCAGACACCATGCAAAAAGAAAGTCCTTGAAACACACAGCCGTAAATGGAATGTCTTCATCAAATCCCTCCCCTCAAACCTCAGGGACCCCGAGAAAGAGGCGGCAGAAAGTGTGTTAAAAGCCAGGGGGGATAGAGGACACCAGAAAAACAAGGCTCTCTGAATCAACCAAGCCAGGCTCATAGGGACTTACGAAGACCGCACAGAGCCAACATGGGCCTGCACAGGTTCTTTGCATATAAATCATAGCTTTCAGCATAGCGTTTTTTATGGACCCAAGTGTGTAAATGGGTGGGTCTCTGATTCTTGTGTCCGTTCTTGGGGCTCTTTCCCTTTTGTTGGGTTGCCTGGTCCAGTCTCCATGGGATAATTTATCTTCTATCTTATCATGTTTGGTTGTTATCTCTTAGAAGGGAAGGGAGAGCTTTGGGCAAAGTGGGAGGGAGGGAAACTGTAATCAAGATGTAGTGTTTGAAAAAGAAGCTATTTTCAATGAGAAGGAAAAAATGAAAAAAAAAATTAAAAAGGAAAGGAAAGGAGAAAAGACCTCTGCTGTGTGGGCTGAGCAAAGGGAAAGGCTCAAAGATGGAGCACAATATTTGAAGAAGGGACCAGGTTGGAGAAGAATGAAAGAGAAGTTTATGCAAAAGACATGGGCAGGTAGTTTGAAAGGGGCTTTGTGATGAAGATGCACAGTGTGCAATCAGTGGCAGAAAAGATGTAAGTAGAAGTCTTTTTGAGTGGCACCTCAAACTAGTATGATGACAAATAACAATTTCACAATTTACTCTTTGTGTGTGACGCCTGTCTGCTTCAGTACTAACATAAGGCATATACGTGTGGATCAGGATGTAAACTCTCAGCTTCCCCAGTATAAAAAACAAAACAAACAAACAAAAAACAACTTATATAAGTTGCCTTGGTCATTATCACAGCAATAGAAAAGTAACTAAGATATGCAGTGCCTGAATTTGGAATCTATTTAGGTTATAATTTAGGTTCCTGGCTATCTTAGTTAGGGCTTCTATTGCTATAAAAGGACACCATGACCATGACTGCTCTTATAAAGAAAGACATTCAATCGGGGGTCGCTTAGCCTTACATATTCAGAGGAGATTCAGTCCATTATCGTCATGGGACATGGTGGCGTCATGGGACATGGTGGCGTGCAGGCAGACATGGCGTGCTGGAGGAGCTGAGAGTTCTATGTCTTGATCCACAGCAGCTGAAGTCATCCATGTGTTGGGCACAGTTTAAGCTCATATGAGACCTCAAAGCCTGTCCTCACAGTGACATACACACTTCCTCCAACAAGGCCACGCCTCCTAATAGTGACATTCTCAATAGGCCAAGCATTTAAACGTGAGTCAATGGGGGACCATACTGATGCCAAACACCACACCAGTTCAGAGTCCTGTTTTCATCCCTGAGACATTCTGACCCCACTGGCCCTTTGGAAAAGGCTCCATGGTTAGGTGTAAAAAGACACCATGGCTGCCTCCTTGCTGCAATGCTCCCTGCCATGATGATCATGGATTCTAAACCTTTAAAACCGTAAGCCCCAAATAAACGCTTCTTTAAAAAATAAATTGTCACGGTCATGGTGTTTTATCACAGCAATTGAAAAGTAACAAGGCAACTGGGTAATGGTGACACACACCTTTAATACCAGCACTCAAGAGGCAGATGGGTCTCTATGAGTTCAAGGCCACCCTGGTTTACAGAGCTAGTTTCAGGACAAGCAAGGCTAAAAACAAACAAACAAACAACATCTGAATTTGGAGTATATTTAGGCTGTAATTTAGGTTACTGGCTTAAAATCCTGTCTTCGTCTCTAAGACACTCTGACCCCATTGGGAAAGGGTCCATGGTTAGATATGAAAAGACACAAGATCTCACATCTGTCCACACTGTCCCAGTGTTTGTTGTTAGGGGAGGGAGCTGCTTCCCTGGAGGGCATCAGGAAGGAAATGAAGCCCATCACAGGAGACACGGCGCCGGGACAAACTCCTATACTACCACCACAACACAGGTTTCGGAGGGCAAAATGGCCTCACCACAGGTCAGTCCCTCTTGTGACAAGCATCCAGGAGTGGTGAGGCTACAATGCCCATGTCCATCCAGCTGAAAGGGCAGGGTTAGTCCAAAATGGTCTGAAAGTCTGTGCTTAAAGCTGGGTCAGCTGCAGCCTCAAGGATGGCCATTGTTGCCCTCGGGAGCTTCCGGCACAGCTGCTTTTGGACTGCAACAGAGGATGCACTCACATTTCATTCCACAGAGATGAGGTAGCCCCTTAGCCTACCTGGGTCAAGTCCCGGCCACGTGTTTCTCCCCACCCAGGGACACACCACCACAGTGGACTCACGAGGACCTCACGAAAGACAACATGGAAACAGAAGCAACACAGAAAGAAACCTGAGGGTCCCTCCCTGCATCTAGGAAGCAGCAGAGCAGAGGAGGCGAAGGGACCAGACCCGAGTGGGCTCCTCAATCTGCCTTTGGGTTCACCTAGGCACTCAGTGGTCAAGGGTAGATTCGGGGGCCATTTGGAGGGAGCTCATTTACCTGTCCTGAGAGGTCCCAGGAGACACTTGTAGGTGACAGAATGACCAGCCAGCTTGAGCAGAAAGGCTTGGTAGCAGAGCCAACGTGCAGCTTCAGGAGGAAATAAGCCAGAGCCACCCTTGGCCTTCAGTGTTATTCCTGGGGGAGCAGATGGAAGCTGAAGAACCCAGTTGGCCATAGACCCTCATGCCCTCCAAAGGTACCCTCAACACCCTTTGACCTGCTAGGACCCAGGCCCCGGAGTGATTGTTGGCTACACTAGCTCCTGAATGAGTGCAGGATATCCACGCCCTGCACGAGAATGTTGGTCCTGGCCATCCACGTACCTGCATTCTTGACCTTCAGGATGGAGTAGCAACAGGATGCTATGTTGGAGATGATGCTCAGAAAGTATGCAGGGTTCTTCCTAACGTGCTGGTCAAAGGGAAGCTGAAGCACACATGCATGGAACCTGGGCAGGAGCCACAGTGGTGGGGAAGGGCCCTTGGTAAATGTGTACAGGCTCATACACAAGAGCAACCTCTTGTCTGTGCAGACATGTGAATTATGCGCACAGATCTATGTGCTCCACATTCACAGAATCATGTAACTACATGTACAAATGGACTTACAACTACATGTAAACACTCTGCATGTGTATGTGCCTATGTTTTCATACATGTATAGTGCCACATAACTAGTCTCTTCCCAAATGTCTCATGAATTGTCATCTCACATCATAGTAAGGGTAAATTGCCTGACAATGAAATTGTGCCCAGTCTTTCACAGCACAAGCTCTTCCCCATTCTCTGATCCAGTGACTGGGGAGGTTACTTAGGACAGATCCACAGTGGCTACAACTCTGGGGAGCAGCCCTCCTTTCACGAGTCTTGGGAAGCCAGTCCCATCCCTACAGTCAGAAGAAAGGACCCATGCTGTGTCCCTGTGGTCAGGTAGAGAAGTGACTGTGTAATGAATGACATCGGGTCTGGCCTCAGGAACCTGATAAGGTGGAGACATTTCACTACCTAAACCCGGGAATGGCTCCTGCTGATCAGCCACCAGCCCCAGGTCCCGGGGCCAACCAAAGACAAGAATGTTGCGGAAGCACAAGCCAATGAGGGGGGCACCATGATGGCCAGGCTGCTGGGGTGCAAGATTGGTGACACTGTCAGCAATGGACCTTATTCTCTGCTTTCTGTGGCTCTTTACCCCAGCTCCTTCTCCTGTCTCGAGACAGCCAGCACAGGCTCTGGTCAGCACGTTAGGTCACACGTGCTCCCAGCACAGAGAGAGCAAAAGAGGCTCTCATCTGACAAATATGGAGCTGTGGGGAGACCCAACAGAATGCTGCTTTTTCCTAACCCCACTCCAGCACTCCCCAACTAGGCAGCTGGTGCTTAGGCTTGGAAGCACCAGCAGATGGCATGGCTGGCATTTCTGGCCTGTGCCGCCCTCTAGTGGTGGCACAGTCCATGACTCACCTGTAGGCCTGAAGCAGGAAGATCTTGTACACATTGATGCAGACTGTCTGAAGGCTGTTCATCTGGAATCCCAATAGAAAGAGAACCATCAGTAACATTCCTCGATCACAAATGAACATTATCTGTGTTGTCACATGAGATAAGAAAGCCACTTGTGTGGGAAACCCAGGAAATACAGCCAGGCCTCCAGTGTCGTTAAAAGGGGAAGAGGAAGGTAGGAGCAGAGACCAAAGCCTACCACGGTGGCCCCTGCTAGACAAAGAACTCAGCAGCAATAGCCTGAGAGCCCAAGGCCAAGGCCAGGATCTAGGGAGCCCCTCTCTCTGTGGGGACTGATGACAGTATTGGAAGGTGATGGAGATGAGCAGGCTGGATGCTCAGGGATCCTCAGTACACATGCAGATGTCTGCATGCTCATTGCACACAGTTGGACCCATATATACGAACCCATGCACATGCCCCCCACACAAAGAACAGGACTTGCACAACAGATGAGGTGGCTGTCTACCTGCTTACCTGTAAGTCTAGAAACAGACTGTGACACTTCAACCGCAAAACAGCTAAGAGCTTGTGTCGCATGTTCCTCCCAGCCTTGAAGGCTCGCTGGAAGGTGAGGCTTGCCTTAATTGAGGTCCGGGCGTAACTGCAGCACAAAGGTACCCTATCTGTGTGATTCCACAGCAACCCTTCCTCTGAGAGACCAGCACCAATGAATGCCCTTCCACCTCCTGCCCCTCCCTGCCACACACTGAAGGCTTAGATAGGGATGGGCCTTCACACATGGAACACATCTCAGCTCTTGGTATACGCTCACAGTACCACCCAAAGCCCCGGACAACCAAACCCAAACAGATGTAGTGAACAACATCCATTTTATCCAGGCTTGGGATCACCAGACATCTTTGCTCATCAGTGGCAAGTAAGAGCTGACAAAATTCACAGTTCAGAAAGAAGTCACAGAAGGAATCACACAGGAAATCACTCTTTAAGTGGCTGAAGCCTGGCAGAGCGCCTTCCCAGAACAGGGCTGTCAATGGAGCAGAAAATTACCGCCAGCCAGACCTCGGTGGCAGCAGAAAGTAAGGAAATGGCTACAATGGTGTCAAACCACCTGCAGACTGCATGTTGGTTCTCGGTCATCTTCGGAAAAGAAATGACAAGATGGGACATGTGCAGGGCAGAAGGTAAGGGATGGTGCCTTCTTGTCACACAGTGGCCTTGCATCATCCTCAAGGGTGAATAGGGTGACAGGCACAGTTACCTCTGTTAAGTTCCTCTAAAAGGTTTTTTAAAATTATTATTATTTTTTTATGCATGTATGAGTGCATGACTGTGCATGTGGATGAAGGCCTGAGGAAGGGGTGACCTGCTCCTTCACACTGCACATTATCCCCTTGAAACAAGAGCTCTCACTGCACTAGGCTGGCAACCAGCAAGCCCCTATGACCAACTTTTCTCCGTCTCTGCCTACAGTGTTGGGTTATAAGTGCATGCAACTATCCTGGCTTTCATGTGGGTTTTGGGGTTTAGAACTCAGGTCCTCATTCTTGCACAGCAAGCACTCTTTAATCTTTTGGTTTTTTGAGACAGAGTTTGTCTGGATTGCTTTGGTGCCTGTCCTGGAACTCACTCTGTAGACCTGGCTGGCCTTGAATTCACAGAGATCTGCCTGCCTCTGCCACCCAAATGCTGGGGTTAAAGTCTTGCACCACCAACGCCCGGCTCAGCAAGCACTCTTAACCCAAGTTAGCTCCCCAGTCCCAGCCATTCCTTTTACACGTGCTTTTGATTACTCTGATGTTAAATACTGTTTGAAAATGTGATGTAAGGCTGCTTTCTGTGTTCTGTAGCATCTTCTGTGCTACTGCTTAGGTCAACAGGCAAGACAAACCAGTCTCACTATTGCGAACACGCAAGTAAAATTTTTGGTAGTCTCTGATTTTTTTTAAGGATGGACAGGAAGATGTGGAATCACTAGGAAAAAATAAACGGGTGCTCTAAGGACCATAGTACCCGTGAATGTCACTTTCTGGAGATGCCGCCCTAGCCTGATTGACTCAAAGCATATGTGAATACATGCAGAGTCTGCGCACACACTAAGCATTTTGTGAGGCTTTAAGCGGTATACACTGCTATCCATGGGGATTCTGCACCAATTCCCCACAGATCCTAAAGATCGACTGCACAATTCTGCTGCCGTGTTCTGTCACTCCTCTTCACACTCTGCATGTGACCTGTGCTTTAGGATGTTGCTAGTCCCTCTGGCTGACCTCTAGACACATTGTCCCTGGCTGAGACAGAAGGATCCTCAGCTCAGTTGAGCATACCCTTTCTGCAGCCTCAGTGGACGAGCTCACAGATGCTCTGAGCATTGACTCTGGAAGCAGGGACCTTCTGGTCTTCAATTCCCCCTGTCCAGGCCATCCTGGCTTTCCATAGGGCTGTGCTGATCGCTGGCTATAGCAGCATGTTCAGAAGGAAATGCTTCATCCTCAAAAAGCTCAGGCCCTTGTAGGGAACTGAATAAGCAAGTTGATGGGTTAGGAGCAACTAGGTGTGCTGAGCACAGAGGTGGGGGCTGGGGTGGCAAAAGTGGCTCTAGGGGGCAGAGGGTGAAGCCAAAAAATATGAGCTGAATCTCAGGGACTGGCCCAAGTCACCATACAAAGGCAGGAAGGCTGAGGGGCCCAGGCCTGTGCAGATAGAAATGGCTGCAGATAAGGTCCCTGCATGGATGGCTTATCTGCACCCACCTCTTCCCTTACAGTGTGAACTTTCAAAGAGCACTGTGGAGACAGAGTTTGGGTCCCAGCTCAGAACAGACAGTTGCCAACACGACGACAGGTTTGTCAGTCGCCTGCCACAATTGTCATACTTTTACTCACAAATGAAATGGTCCAGATATTTTCATCTATGTCCACCTCAACACTGTCCTATCTACCCTACAGCTGGACAGTGAGCTCCTGGTAGGTGGAGACCAACCTCCCTCCTCTTCTCAGACCCTTATACCTCATATAGAGAAGAGCCCTGGCTCCATGGTCTCCAGGGGACTTGGGTCAAAGCTGAAGATGTTCTCATATTGCCCATATGTCCATCTCCAGGACCTTATCTCTTCAGGCCTCATGGTTACTTGTGTCCAAAAGTAGGAAACAGAATGGAGCATCCCACAGTCCCCTCTGCCCCCAGGAACGCATGGGTCCTCAACTTGGCCAGGTGTGTTTGCTTACCCAGTGTAGTCACAGAACACCTCCAGAGTCTGAGTGTCCAGCAGTAAGCCACACCAGGGAAACAGGCAGTGAGCAGGCAGCTGGTGTGGAGCTGTGCCATCCAGGGCACCGGCGTCCACGGGGAAGTTTACCACTGTCTTCTGCAAGTTTATCATGCAGCCGTACTCAGGAATGCCATGGACGAGGGCCCTGAGTAAGAGAGGAAGCATTGGTTATGGGACCCTGGAAACACTCAGCACGTGCCACAAAGATACTCAGAGGTGTTCTGGGACCGGAGAGAGCGGGTCCTTGTGGGTACCCTGATGGAACACCAGGTAGTCTCGCTCTGGACTGTAGCCTAGTGCCTGTCTTCTGTGTAAGCAATAGGGCCAGCTCAGAACAAGATGGCCAGGTGTCCAACAAGTGGGAAGATTCACATAACTCTCTGACGGCCATACCTTAACATCCATGTAGCAAGGTACCCTCTCCCTAGTACACCAGAAGCCTGTTTTCTTGTAGCAACTTTGAGATGCCTGTAGATATGAATTGCTTCTTCCACCAGCAAATGCTAAATAGAAAGCTTGCCCGTGAGTCGAAGGCAATGTGCACCCTTCCTCAAGGTGAACTCACAGTGGCAGTCTGCAGTAGTCTAGTTCCCGTCCCATGGGTGGGGCCGCTTGATGCCATCCACCTGCCTATGACTAGTCAGTCCTTGCAGCTGCCCTGGCCAGCTCCTTATAGTAGATATTTCCTATAGGTGACCATGAACAGCCCCATCTAGTGGTCCTGTCACCCAGACATTGATCTGGAGCCATGACAAGGTCTTAGGGGCAAAACTGACTTCTGGAACTTTACTCAACAGCAGCAGTGTCCTCTGTCCCCAATGGCTACTGCCTATGTATGGGTCACGTGGATTCTGAGTGATAGAGATGTGGCAGGGACATCTTGGGGCTGTTCGCACCTCATTCTACCAATCTTGAGATGCACAACCCACTGGGCTCGAGGACACTATGCTAGAAAGTGCAGGCAACCTGTACAGAGCCCTGATGGGCAGATTTGGAACTAGACAGCATTTCCTGTTTCCCCCAGACAGGCCAGTGGATACTGGAAACACCAGTACCTCAGTGGTGACAGTTTAATTAATCACGTTCAGGGTTTCTCCTCTTGTCAATTACCCTAAAAGGAGGTCTACAAACCTCACAGTGCCTGAGGGGGCCTCCTCTATAACACGCGATCTGAAGGAACCCTCAAACTCTGTAGTGCCTGGGGAGCCTCACTTGATGGTCCCTGCTCTGAAGCAGGGCTGCAGTGCCCAATTCTAGCTTGAACCACAAAAATTAACTTTACAACCAGATATGCCAATAACCTTGACCCAACCTCTACATACTATAAACGGCCTGGAGTATACACTATAACCCACTAGTGTGAATGTTATGTAAGAAAAATGACCACTCCTGATAACAACAGCCATGTCTCAAAACACCAATGTTTAGTAAGTCCAAATTCTCTGGTCTCTTCCTAACGCAATCCATAAAGAAACGTTATCCCACAGGGTCATGGACCTGTTCATCCGGCGCCTGTTCTTCATAGCGTGGTGTGAACTCTCAAAGATGTCAGGCATGGCCCCCATAGACTCACGTGTTTGAGTGCTTGGCCCGAAGGGAGTGGCCCTTTAGGAGGCGTGGCCTTGTTGGAGTAAGAGTAGCCTTGTTGGGCAGAGCGTGTCACTGGAACCAGGCTTTGGGATCTCATACGCTCAAGCTATGCCTAGTGAGACACACAGCTCTTCCTGTTGCTGGCAGATCAAGGTGTAGAACTCTCAGCTTCCTCTCCGGCCCCGTGTCTGCCTGCACACTGCCTTGCTTCTCACCTTGGTGATGATGGGCTAAACCTCTGAAACTGTAAGCCAGCCTCAATGAAATGTTTTCCTTTGTAAGAGTTGCTGTTGTCATGGTGTCCCGTCACAGCAATAGAAGCTTTAACTATGCTCCCATCTCCCAGAAGGGCTGAGTGCCTCAGGCCCCTGCAAACAGCCCTTCTGTGGGCTTAGCTGGGAGGCATGGGAGTTACTGACTGTTGTCTCATTTGAAGACTTTCCAAATACTGGCACTGACCAGTCTCTCACCGCATTCTTGGTGAGACCACGTTGGACCAGCCATGGGTGCCATACTCCCTTCCTTGGTGCTGGAGGGGTGCCATGCCTGGCTGTACAGGTGAGGTGCCCCTGCCACTTAGCAGAGATGCCACTAGGCCTTGGTGACAACACGAGCTCCAGGCACACAAGATTACAAACCGATTAAATGTGCTGCCACAGCCATACATACATCACAATTCTATAGCAGAAACCCAGGCATGACGGTCCTTACCTGAGGAAGGCTTCTGCCTGGACCAGGTGAGGGGTCACCAACAGAAAGTCATCAACAAAACGCAAAAGCAGCCTAAAACGAGACATGTTGGCAGGTTTCACACAGAATCCACCTGCAATGGATCCAACCTGAAACGTTTTAGATGTCATGATGAAAGAGACAAAACAAAGTGATTATTTCACAAAAGGAGATAAATGACAGCTTTACTGTCTCCCTAACTGACATAGCTCTGGGACACTTCCCAGCTTTTCATGAAGTGAGGGCAATGGCCTTTACATCTTGGACATAAAGCAACAGTAACACCCACTCGGTGAGTTTGAAACCTGAAGTGTGAAGATACAGCAACTCATGACCCAGGCCCTTGGAGCAGTAAAAACAAGCATTTACCCATCCTGCTGCATCTCGGCAAACAGCTTGTTCTCCATGTCTCCAAAACACAGACTGCAGAGCAGGGTGGACAGGCTGGAGCCCTGGGGGATGCCCTGGCACTGGACATAGCACCTGGGGATGGTGGTGGTGGTTAAGGTCAGAAGCAGCAGCCATGGTGGGCATCACAGTCGCATTTGACAAACCCCTATGTATAAATATGTACACAGACATACGCGACTACCCACAGACACCATTCTGTAAACATGCTCAAAGGCCACATAAACAAACAGTAGTATCTACTATTGTCTGCCAGTTGCCAAGACCTAAAAAAGACACCAAATTAAGTACCACTCTTATCTCTCCCAGTCCCTGCTCTTACTACAACTTGGGGTGGTAGGGACTACATCCCCATTCACTGACTCCAGGTTTGGTTTTAATTTTTAAATTTTTAGATTTTAAACAAGAATGATAAGCAATCAGGCTCTTGAACTGAGTATTTATCTGGGGCAATCAGTACCAGATTATGAATGGAGCAACATTCCAGGTAACAGCCAATGTAAAAATGTCAGTGCCTTCTTCACAGAGAACATGACGGCACCCTTCAATCAAACATACATGTGGGTGCTGGCAGGGGTGGGTGCCTTCAGATGGTCAGGGCAGGAAACTTACCCATGTGTGAGGAAGAGTAGGTGTGAGCTGACCTTTGACCCCTTGCACAGACTCAGTTCCCTCTGCTGGAGTATCTGCCTGGAAGCTCTCCAGACACGGTACACACAGACCTGACTTCTCAGTGTATCGAGCTGACCCACACTAGGATTAAGTCATCACCAGACTCACAAATCTGTGCTCAGTATTACCAGGACTCAGGAGTACCCTTTGTGGTGTTTGTGAAAAAAACCACCCAGTTGTACACTTGTAACTTGTGGTCTCCCAGCATGCACACTGAACATTTCTAATGACATCCCAATACATATGTGACTTTTGATACTCAGGCATTTCTTGTCCTGCCTGACCTCATCTCTAACAAACCTGGCTGTGAGCCTGGAATTCTGTTCTGAATTGACACTCATCATGGGCTCCTATCAGTCCAGCAAAATGGTGCCAAGTGCATTCCATTCTCCAAGTGGGGACTCTGGGTGCAGAGGATGCAATCAAATGCCCAAACACTCAACCTCACATCCGATCCAGACACACAAAATATGTCTTTGCAGGCCGATGGGCTGTTAGGCAGCTCTAGTACTGAGCCAGTGGTTTTCAAAGGGTACCTGGTCTGGCTTGTAACTCATGGGAGTCTCAGGGGGACCCAGCCATAGGCACTGCTTTCTCTTTGTTGATTCTCATGCCTGGCTGCACAGGTGAGGTGCCCCTTCCCCTTTGTCAAAGTGACAACAGGAACGCGAGGTATACAAAATTATTAACTTCACTGGGGCCAAGCTTGGCCAGGAACTCCCATGGCCCTCATGGGTAGGCAGTCCTGTGGCCCAGCCAGCAGAAGGGCAAGAAAATTCTATAAAGGGGAGTGGGGAGGAAGGAATGAGGTAGAGGCAGTCGGTCTGAGTTCTAAGTGCTGTAGCCAGTTAGCTAGCAAGCACCCCGCTCGGCAGTCAGTCAGGACGGTCTCTACCTATCTGTAGCTGCCCAGCGTCTGCCCACTTGCCCCACACGCATGCCCACCTGCCACCGATCTTCACGACACTGTTACGCACAAAGTGCAGGAAGAAGTCAAACAGGCTGCTGCTGGTCTCGTTCAGAGATAAGCTCTAGAAAAGCAGACACGTGTAGACAGATGAGTATGAGGATGCCGCCAGGTGCCTCCTTAAGATCAAGTGATCATGGTAAAGTAGGAGTGGGGCCAGGGTCCATCGTCCCTGCATGGCCAGGTAGAATTTGACTCAAGGTGACAGGGTATGTAACTTACAGAGCAGCAATGTAACCTTTTATATTTCTACGGCACTAGGTATGGAAACTTGGAGCTCACACTGTCCCCTGCTGAGCCAAAGGAAAATCATCCAAAGGTCTCAGTGAGCATGCCTGCCCCAAAGGTAGAATATGTACAAAAGTTCTGTAGAGCCACTGATTTGTGGGAGGAGATCTCCTGTGTGTGGCATAGGTAAACACTGCTTCAAACTTAATGGGCCAAAATGGGGACCGCAGATTAAGTCCAACTTGCCCACTAAAAAAAGCAGGTGAATTTGTCCTATGCTCTCAAAGTCAAAACTGAGGGAGAAGATATTTTTACTAGTTCACTAATGGATCAGTGGAGTACAGAGGATGAGAGGACAAAGGGCATTTTGGAGTCTTAGCATGCCCACCTTAGTAGCTATTGGGGAGTCTTGGTCATGTCATGGGGACTGCCACCAGGAAGAGTGGCCTTGGTCATGGGAGCTTTCCACCAAGGAACATGTTGGTCACATTCCTGCACTGAAGCAAATGGCCAAGTAGAGGAGGAAGGCCCCACCAGGTGTGGCCAGTTAATGGGGAGCCTGAGGACCTGCTCGATGACAACGGAGTTCCTCAGCGCACTGGTGTCTGAGTCCTGAAGATGCTTCACGAACTGGCCCATGTGTGGCTGGAGGTCAGAGAGAGTGGAGACCTATAGCAAAAAAGAGTTGAACACTTGAGGGGAACCAGAGGGGCATACGCTTTTCTGGCCCCAACAGCCACAGCACAGTTCAACAATAGAACCATGTGCGGCCACGCTATCAGAGTTTTATAAGGAAAAGACAGAATCTAGCATCTCAGCAGGAAGAGCCACAGAAACAGCAGGTTTCACATCAGTCAGCTTTCCCCGGGTCAGACACCCCCATAATGCTGTGGTTACTGATGATCACAAGACAAGTAGCACCCCAACCTCTCCAGGGACAATGTGCAGACAGATGGGAGGAAGAGCTGACAGGATTAGAGAGGGGATGGCTCCTTCATCTCCTGCAACGAACTCTTCAGGATGACTGCTTTTTATCCAGTGGCCAACAAGATCTGTCTCCAGACAGGATGTCACCAGAAGGAATATAGCACCATCTACTGACAGCACAGGAACAATTCCAAGCATGTGAGGCTTCCAGAGATCTGAACACTGGAGTCTGAGTAAACTTGGCTATCTTCAGACTTGTAAAACTTCTGTCTCCTTCTATCATGTTGAGAATGCACACTGTTTTTGAACCGTAAAATTTCCCATGTTAGGTTGCATGTATGAATATGGTCAAAATGCATTACACACGAGTATAAAGATATCATAATAAAACCCATTATTATGTACAATTTGATGGGGGTTGTCCTTTTGTATACATGTTTCTCTTATTGGTTGATAAATAAAACCCTGTTTGGCCAACAGAGGCAGGAAGATAGGCAGGACTAGGAGGCGAGGAGAATTCTGGGAAAGGTAGGTGGCAGGGAGACCAAGAAGAGACGTCAGAGACCAGGAAGAAAGGATGTGCCAGGCATTCTCTGGTAAGACAAGGCCATATAGAAATACATAGGTTAGTAGTTATGGGTTAATAATTAAGACAGAGCTAGCCAATAGAAGGCTTAGCCATGTGCCAACAGTTCAATAATTAATATAAGTCATCATGTGCTTATTTGGGGCAAAGCAGCTGTGGGACCAGACTGGAAAGAAAAACTCCATCAACAATTAACATACAGTAGCACAAAATAAACAAAAACCCCATGTGCCAAGGGGGTTTGCTGCTGTACTAGGAGTAAAGTCACCCAGAGTAGTTTAAGTACAAGAATTAATCTAGAAAAGAACAGCAATATGACCTGAGCAAGAGAGAGCTCATGGACCCCAGTCTGACAGCTGGGAAACTAGCATAGGACCTAACCAGGACCCCTGAACGTGGGTGAGATTTGGGGTACCTGGGCAGTCTATGCTGCCTCTGGCAGTGGAACCAGTATTTATCCATAGTGCATGAATGGGCTTTGGGAGTCTGTTCCCTAATGAGGGATACTCTCTTAGCCTAGATACATGGGGGAGGGAGTAGGTCCTGACACATATGATGTGACAGACTTTGATGAACCCCCATGAGAGGCAGACTGGGGGGACATGGGAAGATGGGAGGAAGAGGGAACTGTGATTGATATGTAAAATGAGATTGTTTTTAATTTAAATAAAACTTTATGAAAGAAAAGAATAGCAATATAACTAGAAAATGCCTTGCATTTTCAAAATAAGTCAACATGCTTCTGAATCACCAAAGAGTTTATCAAAAACTGCAATAAACAAATAAAGGTTCTGAACTGAATGATAACAAATTGACAAAACACCAGAATGTGTACAGTACTATTGAGGGGTCTTAGAGAAAAATGTGTAACTTCAGGTGTTTAATTGGGATTGGTGCGATGGCTCAGCACATAAAGACACCTACCACCAAACCTAATGACTTCAGTTCAATCCCCAGATCCACAGAGTGGATGGAGAAAATAACTCCTACACTCTTAGCCTCTACAGAGGCACCATGGTAGTTGCTCTGGGCAGAGCAGGGAAGGAATCACCTGGGTGTAGTGATTATGGATATGTCCTTGGTGCAGAAGCTACATGGCCACTGTGCATATCACACATGTAGAGTTAAAGTTTGCCCTTGAGTCTTATTATGTCCTACATATAGGGAAAGGAAGTCACCTGGCACCTCTCCCAGGTCTAAACTCTGTGCAAATGTCTCTCCACCTTTAAACCTGCAGACCCCACCTGCCTACCAAAGACTATATTGGGAGTCCTGTAGAGGGAGGCAGGCTGGGGTCAGACAAATGATCACTGGCACCATGGATACCCAAGGCACAGACGTGTCCTCGTATGGACATGCCAGAAATGTGGACCTACCACAGCCTCACCTGTGTCACCGACAGAGTGCACATACTCCTGACATGAGCAGGCCTGTGCCACAAGCATGCTCGCATCACTATGGCCTTACCTGTCTCCTGAAGGACTTGTGGATTTGGCCTTGTCTATCTCTTTGGACCACTGCATATTGGCGGATACAGTATGTGTTCTCTGGGTGTCTGATCATATTGGCAATGACCTCCACAAGCTTGTCCTGGGGGATGGCATCATATGCTCCAGTCACATCTGCCTGTGGAACACATGTGAACACTAGTAAGCATGATTGGGCCCTGGCCTAGGGGTCCTGCTGGCTCTGTCCTTGGTGTCTGGGTTCCAACCTGCCCTTAGCAAACCTGCAGGAGACAGACAGGAGAAAGATACTCCATGCTCCTGTACCAGCCTAGTCATATGTGCCCATCCCACAAATTTCATTCCAGACCAAGGACCCTGGGACAATAGTGGGCCTACATTCCTCTCTCTAGCCTGTTACCCCAGATTGAAGACCCTGGATCAAGGAAAGCTTACATTCTCCTTGCAGAGCCTCGAAGCCTGCAAGGGCCACTGCCTAACCTAGATACTGGTGGTAGACAGTCAATCAATGCTACTTCTCTGAACGGGACCCAGCATCCAACAGAATTCTCCTATAGCATAGATCCTAGAGGAGTTGGAATGCACTGTCCAAGGGACCCATAGAGAACTCAAGGCTGTTCTGAGATCTGTTTATCCCAGAAGTATGGGGTCCCTCTGCTCCAGAGAGAATGGGAGGCTAGGGTATCTTTGATCTACATATGGTAGCAGGGCCAAGACTCTCAACTATCAGCTTGAGCCTACAACAGGGTCAACCAGTGTTGGCTGCTCCAAGGAGGTACCCTAGAACCCAGACCATGAGAGCTAATGTGATGGACAGGAATCCAAATGAGTACCTTAACAAAGTACATCCTAGGTGCCTGGTCCAGAGTGCGCACACGCAGTACGAAGGTCCGCCAGGTCTTGTAGATATCATTCAGGCCCAGTACAGAAGCCCCCAGAAGGTTTGTATGTTTTGTCCGTTCATAGTTGAGCACGCTGAACAGAGTCTTGAGATACTGGGTGAAAAGCTGAGCCTGGGCCAGGGCCATATTAGAAATGAAGACACATGAGAAATGAACCTGGCAGACTGTCCCAGATTACCCTGATGTCTCAGAAGAGACTCCTGTAGCCCAGAGTCTTAGGAGACCTATCCCACTAAGTCACTTGACAGCATTTGGGACGCTCACCCAACCTGCCCCAACCTGTCCTCACCCACCACCCACGGCACTGCCTTCTCATGAGACATGTCCACTGGGAGGGGTCAGAGGCTGTTTCAGACATCCAGCTATGGGGAAGGGAGGCAGCTGCCCCCTTGGTTACTTTGGCTCCTAGCACGGAGGCCATACAGTGTCTATCCTACCTGTCAGGATCCCTGAGGTATCTCCAAGGATTGAGTCCCAAGCCCTTTGGCTCTTGAGACTCCCATCTCTAGGGCCTTCCCACGTGCTTAAGTTTTGGACTTGGGAACAACCAGTTCCCCGTTCTTCCTCTTCTGTCTACCCAGGGCTCAGAACTTCACGAGGTCTTGCGTAACCAGAGCACAGGCTCAACCAGCAGTAAAGGAGCCAAGTGCAGTCACCTGCTTCCTTTTGTCAAAGGCTCTGGTGCCTATGCTGTAACTCATGTTCACAATGGGCCGAAGACCACTGGGCTTGGGGATGAATCGTAGTCTGCAGATGGGCATGGCTGGCCAGGTCTCCTGGTGCTGTCTGACTTCCTCTTGTGACAGTTCCTGCAGCCGCACTCTCTCAAGGTGTTGCCTGTTACAGAGAGCATTGTGGAGTTATGACATGAGCATGTGGGAAATTCAAGAGACACATCCCATCAGGGTGGTTAGGAACTCGGGTCATTTGACACCTGGCCATGCTACAGGGCTACATCCAGGACCATAGCAACTCACAACAACCAGACAACCCATAGAACTGTCTGGGAAGGATACATGTCATGTAACCTGTGTTTGCACCTGGGACGTCTGGTCCCATAGTCAGCCCTCAGTGTTCCTTTTTTTGGGCGATCCCATTGGCCAGGGCACTTTTGAAGCAATCTTCTGCCCTCTAGGGGTGTGAAAGCAAAAAGCATCCCTGCTTATTCCAGGTCCATGTGTGCCAAAGTACATAGGAAGTCCTGTGCTGGCAGCTAAGGATTCCACAAGCACAGTGGGTGACATGTAACACATAGCAAGGGCTGGATTCCATGAGACATGGAGCTGGGCGGTGATGGCACACACCTTTAATCGCAATGCTCAGAAGGCAGAGTCAGGGGGAATCTAGCATATCTACAATGCTAGTTTCAAGACAGCCAGGGCTACCCAGAGCAATCCTGGTTAACATGATATTCTGCTCTGTGCAGGCCTTGCCTGGCCTCTTACTCTGCCTCCTCAGCCTGGTCTGTGTACCTTCCACTAGTACAGCAAACCCCAGTTCAACAAGCAGAGAACTCAGAGCCTCTGCCAGCTCTTGGGGGTGGACCCTTGTGGTTTCCCCGAGGAGGCTCCTCACATTGTACTTCCTTCAGGAGTGAACATAAGGTAGAGCCCATCTCACCCGTGTACCAAACAGGTAGCTGCTCTGCTTCTATTTGGTGTGAATTCTTCCCACTTTAGTGATCTGATAGACGGTGCAGGCCCAACTTATGATTTTACAGGCCAGAAAGCAGGATCTCCAGTCCACGACATCATGGAGTCTATGCCCTAAATGCCCAGGGACAGGCTAGCAGGTGCCAGGCACTATTGGGAGTCAGTGTATGTAAGCAGCAGATATATGTGATACCTGACTCCAATGCTCTGCAGCCTTCTCCACACGCTCTTACGGTAGAAGAAAAGCTGGTTCTTCTGGAATGTGGTCTCTGTGACGTAAAAGAATGACCTAAGCAGCTCTACCACGTACGTGTCCATCAGCCAGAACAGGAACATAGCCAGGATCCTTTCCCTCATTCGGTGCTCTGCGGCTGGGACACAGTTGTTTCCTGAAAGCAGTAGACACTCAATACCCATGACTCACCCCACACCCATGATGTCCAGAATGGGAGCCACGAGACTCCAAAATGAGCCCACGAGGTGTTGCTCTGGACATGCTGGGTTCTAATAAAATATGTCAATAAACTAGCTTAACCTTTGTGTGTGTGTGTTTGTTGGGAGGTGGGGACTTACTTTTGGCAGGTCACAAACGAGTTCTCTGACAAAGCCATGTCGTTAATGGGATCCTGCACGCCTAGCGACTAGAGATGGAATGCAGCTGACTGAGAGTGAAATGCTCTTGGGCCATCTTTCACAGCCATTCACTTCCAACCTCTGAATCTGACCTAACACCCTCATGACCGACTACCCAGTGAATCTTTTGGGATGGACCCACTCAGCAGACCCTAGCCTCTACCAACTCCTAAAGCTAAGAGTATCTTCAGATAGGGGCTAGGGGCATGGCTCAGTTGGTAAAATGGTTGCTCTAGAGGAATGAAAACTGAGTTCTATCATCGGAACCCACGTTACAAAAGCTAGGCGTGGTGACCTGTGCCTGTAACCAAGTGCTAGGGAGGCAAAGGCAGATGGATCCTATCTGAATCAGCGACTTGATTAAAGACACCCACTGTCAATCTCGGGCCTCTACACGCATGCACAGACAAACTTTAACGGGTTTACTATTGGGTCACAGACAACATGCTCACTGCCCCTGAGCAGTGTGGTTCAGAGATGTGTAGGGACAAGCAGAGAACAGGCTGCTCTCACTGTCATACTGGACATTAGGATTCAATGCCCCATAGGCCACGCTAGCCGTCCTTCCCGAGGGCCTCTGAAGACCATTCTGTATGTCTCCAAATACCATGGGAGCCTGCATTATCCAGATAAAGCTGGTTTTCCAGCAGTGAGAAACATGAAGTAGGAAAGGAAACCCCAGGCATAGGATAGAAGGCAGAATGAACAAAGAAAGGGAGCAGGGGCGGGAGAGATAACTCAGTGGTCAAGAGCACTGGCTGCTCTTGCAGAGGTCCTCATTTGTTTCTCAGTACCCACACGGTAGCTCACAGCCTCCTAATAACTCCAATTCCAGGAGATCTGACACCCTCATCGGGTCTGCTCCAACCACTAGGCATGGCATGGTGTACATACACATACACACACACACACACACACACACACACTAATCGTTAAAAATAAGTAAGTAAGTAAGTAAATAAATGGAGAAAATGGTGTGGAAGGATAAGACTAAATAAGCAGTGACCTTAAGAAACAAGAATGATGTTTAACTTGGGAGTAGAGAGACTGAAGGCAGAGGGAAATCAGCAGAGAGATAGGAAGGCAGTTCCTATACAGACCAGAGTTCAAGCACCTTTAGGTTCAAATGTCAGGTGACCACTGGCAAAGAACACCACTGGCAAAGAACAGTGCACATAACTTCTTATCATTCGAAGGTAAAAACAAAATGACAACATGTGCAACAAGGAAATGCACTTTACGACTGCTCAGATACTAAGACTCGGGGGTGGCATGGAGTGCAGCAAGAATTAAGAGCAAACTGGCTGAAGAAATGGCTCAGCTCTTAGGGCTCTGGCTGTTTTTTTCAGACAACTGGGGTTTGAGTCCCACCATCCACATGGTGGCTCTCAACCATCTGAAACTCCAGTTCAAGGGGATCGATCCCAGCTCTCTCCTGGCTTCTGTAGGTACTTGGCATTCAAGTGGTACACAAGCAAAACACCCATATGCATGAAAAACTGAAAACCAACAAAAGTGAACTTGAAAGCAGCGCAGCCAGGCGCATTTCTTCTTAAAAGAGAGGAAGCAAGCAAACCCAGCTCTCCAGCTGAGTGACAAGTCCAGGCCAGCCAGTCTGACAGTTGACAGACTCAGCTATTGGGTGTGTTTTACACACCTGCTATCCTGCTTCTCCAGACGCTGAGGCAGGAAACAGGGTTACAAACTTGAGAGCAGCCTGAGCAAATTAGCAAAAACCTGCCTCAAAGGAAAAAAACAAAAACAAAAAACAACTTTACATTTAGAGAATGACTAGAGGCTAGATGTCAGTAGCAGCGCACACCTTTAATCTCAGTACCCAAGAGGCAGAAGCAGGCAGATCTCTGTGAGTTTGTGGCCAGCCTGGTTTATAAAACAAGTTCCAGGACAGGATCCAAAGTTACAGAGAAACCCTGTCTCGAACCACTCCCTACCAAAAAAAAAAATTAAATAAATAAATAAAAAATCACTATAGACATAATATCCAGATTCTCTAATCAGAAAGATAAAAATTCAGGCTGGGTGTGGTGCTGTACGTCTTTAATCTCAGCATTCAGGAGGTAGAGATAGGCAGATCTCTGTGAGTTCAAGATCAGCCCTGTCTGTAAACAAGTTAAAGGCCAGCTGGGACTAGATAGCAAGACCTTGTCTCAAATAAATAGAAACTTGTAACTAGTACATATACTTAATAATGTTGCCTATAAATACCACCAGTACAAGAAGAAATGACCCTAGTTGTCCAGTCAAGAGACAGAGGTATCCATCCTTCTTCCCCGCCTGGAAAGGATGTGGACATTTCCTGTGTATACCTGACCCAGTGAACACAAAAACCTCAGCATTCAGAAATACAATGAACTTAGGAAAGCTGCCTGAGCAGAAGTGCAAGTTTCCAGCACCTTCAAATAACTGTTATACAGACTACACAGGAGCTCAAAATCAATTTAAAGGGGAAATCTAAAACATTTCACACATTTGGAATTTGAAAAATTCCTAGGTAATAAGTACAGCAAAACAAAAAACAAAAACAATGGAAGGCGGAAAATGCCCCTAAACCACTGATATCAAAATTACCACACATGGAAGCACTAGGTGCAGCTAAGGCAGTATCCAAAGGAAATGTGTAGCCAAATACCCAACCTATGATGACAGAAAAGAACACCAAAAAAAAAAAAAAAAAAAAAAAAAAACTGAAGAGGAAGGAATAAAAAGAGAAAAGTCCACAGAGAACCTGAAAGTCAAAGGGTTCTTGGCGCAGGAGAGGCATGCTCAAACAAATCTGGAAGCGTAATCGTAAAGCTGGGATTTGGGCAGAGTCCAATCTAAGCAAGCAGCAGCTTGTGTCCAGAACAAGGAGAGCTGCCATCTGCCTGAGGAGACAGGAGGTGCGAGTACTTCTTTTCCTCTAGAGCTGTCTCTGTAACCCTGGGCAACAGATACAGACAGCTGTGGGTAAGGGAGCCCTGGGCTGTGAAGGAGTGGGATGACAATGGGTGGCAGGTGAGGTGACTTAAGGGCCACAGAGCCAGCCTCTGGGCTGCAGCTGGGAGAGCCAGGGGTGTACTGTTAAAGGCTCACTTTGAAGCTCCCAAAGATTGTCCACGGTGGGTAAACGTGGCTCTGCCACCTTCCCCCCTTAAGCTGTAAATATCCTAGGAGCTTGGGAGAGGGGAGAGCAGGACAGAGACAGTGTGATCCCTTCACAGATGCACAGGTTGGGGACAGCAGGGCTGGCTGAAAGGAAGGAGGCAATTGGTGGGTAGCTATGACCAGCCAATGTCAACATTAATAGGCAAGGGAGGGCACAGGACTGCCTCTACAACCTCCCAAGGACAAACAGTCCCCCTTTATGCAGCAGGCTCTGTTCTCCTTTCTGGGGTCCCTTCAAAACTAAGATGGGACAGGGATCTTCACTGCAGAAAAGTCTTTTGTTCTACCCTTTGTGGCCTAAGCAGCTGTACCACTACAGCTCAAGCGAAAAACGTCTGCACACTGGGTGAATCAGAAGAACCCTTAAACCTCAGGGGCCTCACTTCCCCCCCAGGACAGACTGCCCCTGTGCTGACCTGCCTTTGTTAGCATAGAGGCACTGTTCCACAAGGAGGTCAAGGATAGCCTGTAGGAGCTTTCACTAAAGCGTCTCAGTGGGTGCTGGTATTTCTACCCACTATGCACCCCACCAGCTTATCTGCTCACCTGCGTCCTCGGCTCTGAGAACCTGCCCCAGAGTTTGAACAAGAATCTTGGTTAGCACAAACTGGGCTGGAGTCAGAGATCATCAGATGGAACTCACCCAACCATTGACTGCACAAAGCCGCAGCGCCACTGAGGCCTTGGGCTCCTGCCACTCACTGTCTCCCTTTTCTGGGCCCCTACTGCATTCAGCTGGAGACCAGCCCTGCTCACCTGGGCTGCTGCGAAGCCAGGGGCAGTCTTCCACTTTCATCTTCCACATGAGCTCCTGCAGCGAGAGCTTGCCATACTTTCCCAAGGAGATGAACTGCTTCACGTTTTTAAAGAAGCGTCGCTGGTTGTGCTCGGAACCCCAGAGACCTGGAGGCACCAGCTTCAGGATACAGGCCCGCAGAAAGCTGTATACCTGCCAGGGACTGCTGTGAAGGCGGAGCAAATTCATGAGGTGCAGCTGGCTGGTGGTGTTCAAGGCACCTGCCACCTGGTGGGTTGCTGTCCGAAACCTGCAATGTGACCTGAGGAGTCTGGCATACGGGCACCGCGCATGGTTCACAAGCAGCTGCTGGAATAGGGGTCGCATCTGCCAGTAGCGCCTCGAAAGGCGGCGTGTCCCACAGAGTGGTCCTGATGTCCTAGGCCTCATGCCTAGAAAGATTATCTCCACCAGTCTCCTGGCCCCATTCAAGCTGGGCTGGAGGTTGTTGAGAAGGAAGGAGGGGTTCAGCCTCTCTCGGCCACCTCCTCTAGAGTAGAGGAAGCGTTTGGTCTCAGTATATGGTCTGAGCTGAAAGGTATCTTGGCATATTGGTGACTGCTGCGGGGATGTGCAACTGGGCTTGTGCTTATAGTACACTGCTCCAGAGCGACTCAGGCCAGGTGCCTTCCTTCCGGAAGACAAATCTTCCTTGGTAGCTCTACTAGTAGTCACTGGGGGGCACTCGGCAGGACTTGGCACCCATGTTCTGTCTGATGGGGTTGGAACCGCCTGCCTGTTGGGTCCCTTCTCCAGTCTCGGGCCCAGATCGCACCTGGCCTTCTTAGATGAAGGCACATTTCTATTGGCGATTCTTAGGCTCCGCTTTGCGCCTCGAGATGGCAAGGGCAGGGGTTTCCACCTTTCCTGGTGATTGCTATTCTTGACCGGGTGTGTAGATCCAAGATGAGTAAAATTTCTGCCCATGGGTCGTGTGGGCCTGTAGCTCGGGGACACAGAGGGCCAGGTATCCGCGGTGGCACAGATTTGGTACAGGGGTGAGCCGCACACCTGGTAGGCACAGCTCGGGGGCACCAGCAGGTAGAGCGCACAGCGGGCCAGCAGGTAGACCAGCAAGTCGTCGCCCACTCGGTTCAGCAAAAGCATCCATGCACCACTGACGCGCAAAGACTCAGTCACTGAGTTGGGCAAGTAGCTGCGCACGCTGGTTGTGAAGGTCATGGGAGGTCCGCCTTGGGCTCCGTTAAGCAGCGCGAAGCCAAAAGCCAGCACGTTCCTTTCTCCGCGATCACAGAGTCTCTGCACGACCCTGGCCACCAGCTCCTTCAGGGATGACACCTGGTAAGGAGAAGAGGGTTTTGAGCTAGAGGCGCTGTCCCGCGTCCTCCCGGCTCTCCGCCCCCGACCCACGGGGATCCCAGCCAGAGGCCCACCTGTTGGAAGGAAAGGTCAGCAGGTGGAGGTTGTGAGCCCCAGGGCACACACACTAGGCACTGGGCCACCAATGTGCGGAAGACCTTTGGGTCCCCGGGTTGTACAAGTCGCCTGCCCTCAGGTCCCAGGCGCCGCACGAAGGTTGCCAGCGGCCACACCTCGCGGTATCGACTGCGCAGCAAAGCGCGCACTGCCGGGCAACGGGGCGCGCGGGGCATCGCGCTCAAGGTCCGACCGGGCCTCTCACGTGCGGGAAACTTCGATGTGGGGCTGAGCTCAGAAAAGCGTCAGGAGCCGGGACACTGGGAGCCCCCGGCGGGAAAAGGCGGGGTCGGGACGGAGGAAGGGGAGGGATCGAAGCGGACCAAGCGCTGTAGCGGAAGAGGCGGAGTTGCACCAGTGGCACTTTGCTGTCGGTGGTCCCACAGTTGGCGTTTAGGGACTACCGCCCAGATGAGTTCAGTGGTTGCGGGAAATGTAATAATAACAGAGGGAGGTGTGGTCACAAAGTGTTTTCCTCCACAGAGAGCTTCTCGGCCCTCCTTTCGCTCCGAGCTGGGGGTCCCAGGTGGTGTAGACTGTGGCGGGGCCGCAAACAAAGACACCTGTCCTTGTTTTTGAAGGTTCTGTAGACGGAGGAACCTAAGGCCCATCCTGCTCCAGAGCCGGCCGCTGCTGCCTGTGAGTTCGGTGCAGACAGTGGGTAATGGCAGTCCCGATTCTTTCCAGTAAGGCATCATGATTGGGGCCGGGATTCTATTGTACAGGTTCTTAAAGCTTTATTGTGGTTCTACCATCAGCTCCCACAAAGGTTCCATTAACATCCTCCACCAAAGGACGGGGACCAGGTGAAGCTGTGCGTCCGCTTTTCTCACTGTCACAACAGCCTTCACCCCAGGGTCCAGAGCTACTGGTCATCGCCCACTCATGCGCGGTGGCGAGACCGGAGACACTAACTAAGGGCACTGAGTGTGCGCACACGGCCAAAGCAAGAGACCTCGACCTCAGGACAGCAGCACCTCTTAACTGGAAGCTGGTGGCTTTAACAGTGCTTGCAAGCAGGGCGGGGGTGGGGTGGGGTGGTTAGGGACAGAGCAGTGCACTAGGGATAAGGGACATCAGTAGTGACACTACCCAGCACCATAGCTAGGAGCTTGTGAAGTTGAAGCGCTGGGAAATAGGGAGTCTGTGCTGAATTTGGCAAACACTGAAATGCTAACAAATGTAACCTTTGGTGCCTTCAGCTTTTTGAGGAAATTGCTTCTATCCACCGACCTAGCATTTGAACAGACCTCGAACCCTCCCAACAGGCGCTTTTTCATATTTACTCCCTTGTAGGAGGTCGGCCGCCTTGTAAATGCTCAGGATTACAGATGCTATTTTAGAAGTCCATTTAGTGGGTGTTAGCCTCTTTGAAGGGTGTTTTTGAGGTTGGCTGAGTATTGCTACTTTGGAGATTTGGGAATGAACTGAGAAATCTGTGCCAATAACCAAGTTACCTTAGTGTGGTTTCTCAGAGAAACCAGCATTGAAAACAGTTTCAAAAATTAGAATATAGCTAGGTATGGTGGTGCACTATTGTAATAATAGCTCTTGGGAGATAGAGGCAGGGGGATGAGGAGGCATTCAAAACCAGGCCAGCTACACAGTTTAAAAATCCACTTGTGCCAAGTAAGACCCTGCCTCAAAAGGCAAAGAGGAGGAAGGGAGAGGGTAGCATGAGCTGACTATACAATGAGGCCCTGGGTTCAAGGCCAGACTCAATAAAATAAAAATAGACTAGAAAAAAGTCAAAGCAGAAAATGCATGTGGAAGCTGTCTATAAGCTATGATATCTATGATAGAGAACCATCGCGGGGGGGGGGAAGAGAGAGAGAGAGAGAGAGAGAGAGAGAGAGAGAGAGAGAGAGAGAGAGAGAGAGAGAGAACAAGCATACTTCTAACAGCCTACTTTAGAAAGATGTTCTTATAGACACTAGGCCAGGGAGGGCTGCACCTCAGGAGCTATCCCAGACTCTGAGGAAAGGAGGTAACAAAGAGGACCCCTAGTGTCCCTACCCATATAGGGAGATGTGTCTGAGGAAATCCCTGGGGACCTGTCATGCTCTGGTCTGTCAGCCCAACCTGTTGGCAGCAAGTGACTCCCACTGGGTTCTCCCCATCCAGAATCTGGGCAAGGCGCTGGATGTGATGCTGTTCTGTTGTAGTTTGTCATATGTTCAGAGATAACTGGAACACCGATTTACTTCTCAGTGGTCAAGATGGGGATATGAGAACAATAAATTCCATTTACATAGCTTGTCACTGACACGACAATTTCATACCCATTATTTATTTCATCAACATCACACGGCTCAAGAAGTATGCAAATGAATGCCACCATGCCCTTTTACAGGCCCAGAGGCTGGTGACTCCCTGACATCACAGATAGCGCCTCAAGGCAGTATGTACTAGTTCTGGTCTTGGGATTGCAGGACTGACCGATTCCGCCTCTTCTTGGGACAGGTTACCTTGTACTGTTTTCTCAAAGCCACTCCTTCACCTTAAGCCACACCGACACCACTCCCATCTCCGTTTGCCTCATCTCACACGTTAAACTGCCTACGAAAACCAATAAAAAGTACTTAGGGCACAAAAATCCCTTTGAATGTCATTATTTAATCCTCATGGCTTGGCAAACAGAGCTCAGTTCCTTTTTTACATCTTTGGATTTTCGAGACCTTGGAAGTTATTTGATGAAATTTAAGAAGACAGTAAGATAAACTCATCCACTTGGCCTTGGAAAGGTTGTATTTGCTTATGGAATTAAGTTTCTTAATTGTGCCTCTTGAAAGCACAAGCTGGCTAGCCTATGTGGTCCTTTCTCAGGGGCTGGGATGTTTGTGAAGCCCTTCAGAAGAGAGGTTTCTTCCAGGCTGGGCACATCATCAGATACAAAGGGAGCTGTTTGCAATGATGAATAGCAAGCGGGGGAGGTGCATGATTAAGCCACTGGTTTCTGACTTGAGAAAACGAGTGTTCAGGTGTTCAGTATTTAAAGAAGGTGCTTAACCCCTCCCTTCCTTAAAGAGTCAACTCTGCTAATGCTCAAGAGCAGAGGAAAGCCTAAGCCACCGTGAGATGGCCTGAGTGCATCTAGCCATTGCCACCTCATCTTCTGTTACTGCAATAGGTTCTCCGATGCTCTCATTCTTTCATGCCAGCAGGGCAGCAGGAAAGATTCATGGGAGTACTGACCATCCTGCTCAATACACCCACCACAGTGCTTGCCTTACCTCCCTGCCTTTTACTCTGGATTTCTGATCCCCCCCCCCCCCCCCGCCTCTGTGTGTGTGTGTGTGTGTGTGTGTGTGTGTGTGTGTGTGTGTGTGTGTGAGATTCTTAAAGCAATGCTGGTCCCTGCAGAGTCCTCAAGTCCTTCCTGGAATATAACAACAAACATTTCACATTTTAGGTCTTAGGATTCATACAGTTCAACAAAATACAAACACTGAAGCAAGCAAGCAAGCCAGCAAACAAGCAAACAAACAAACCCCCATCAAACACACAGCACTCAGGAGCCCAAACAGGACTGACATGAGTTCAAAGTGATCCTGAGCTACCAAGTAGAACTTGTTAAAAAACAAAAATTTAAAAGTCCAAGCACAGAAAGCACAAGAATGAGTGTAAGAAAGCTGGGCGTTGGTGGCGCATGCCTTTAATCCCGGCACTCGGAAGGCAGAGGCAGGGGGATCTCTGTGAGTTCAAGGCCAGCCTGGTCTACAAAGCTAGTTCCAGGGCAGGGCAGGCTCCAAAACAATACAGAGAAACCCTGTCTCAAAAAACCAAAAAAAAAAAAAAAAAAAAAAAAAAAAGTGTAAGAAAGAAAGAAAAAAATGTACCCACCACAACCCCCACAGTATTGTTAGATGTAAAAAATCCCAGTAACTGAAATTGATTCATAATATGACATAAGTTTATATTTAACATGCAAAATCAGGAAGGTAAAATATAACTAAAGAGATAAAATGAACATGTAAGTTAAAGGAACAAAAATTTCAATAAATGAACCATGTATCAAGTAAAGTTATCTTTACTCTGGCTGTCCTGGAACTTGCTTTGCAGACCAGGCTGGCCTTAAACTCACTGAGATCCCTTCTGAGTTCTGGGAATAAATGCATGTGCCACCACCATGCACAGCCAAGTGAAGTTACTTAAAAGAAAGCAGGTAATATGGAAACAGATGAAAAGGTAAGGTCATCCAGGAAAGCGCTGGTGTGGGAAACAGGCTACAATTTTTCCATTATTGAAGACTGACATGTATGTATGCGTTAACGTATTACTAGCCAGAAGAAACAAAAAGGACTTACACAGTGAAAATGGGAAATCCTGAACTCAGACAAGAAGAAGACAGACTTCTTACCAAGGAAGTCCCCCAGTCTTGAGGAACTCGAGATGATGGGCCCACTGGAGGAAGACACACCCAGAGGAAAGCCATGGCCAGCCAGTCACCCTCTTACCATGTGCCCAGGAAAGCCAGGCTTTCAAAAGTGGAGTGAGGGAATACGACATCTACTGTAGACAGGCCTAAGAGTTAAGCTGTGCTGTATTTCTGACATTGGGGAACTTCTGAAGTGAGAGCCATCTCTGAGCTTTTATTCCTTGTGAGGTTTTTTTTTTTTTTTTTTTTTTTTTAATGACAGATCTAATGGTTCGAAGGGAAAGATGGTCAAAGTCACCTGACTCAGTCTGAGGTAAAGGATTTGTCTGTTTTGCCTGAACTGTCAGACTGGCACAAGGCTACCCACAATACTCTACGGTTACTTTCAACTGTGCAGAACCTGGTGACCCAGCCTTTCTGTTTCACCCGCTGAGCTGGAATGGCAGCCAGTTCTTTGCTCTTCTTTAAGAACCAGCTTTGGGGGGCCTGGGCTTCTGTGTAGGTTTATTCTACTTATTTCAGAGTTCACTTCCTTGTCCCTTTTTAGTTCAAGAGAGATGCCTTGGACATTTAATCATTTTCAGTTTTTGGCAGAAGTGTACAGAGTCTTCATATTACTGGACTGCTATACATTCAGCTTAACACACAAGTATTATAAATTTTGGTATTTTGTTTTCAACTCAGGTGATAATATTTTCTAACTTCCCCCCTATGGCCTCAAATTCACAGTGATCCTCCTGTCTCAAGAGTGGGATAACAGGCATACGTCAATAAGCTTTTTATTTTGATTCATGGGTTATTTCAAAGTGTGATATTTAATCACCTTACTGCTAGGAATATGGTCTTTTCTGGTAAACATTCCAAGTGTTCTTCAAAAATGTATTTTTACTAATGTTGTTG